CAGCTCCCTGCTGTGGCCTGGGAAAGCAGCTGCAGATGGCCCAAGTCCTCAGGCCCCTGCACCCACGTGGGAGACCTGGATGAAGCTCCCGGCTCCTGTCTGGTCTGACCCAGCCCTGGCCATTAAAGCCATTTGGAGAGTGAACCAGCAGATGGCAGATCTGTCTGTCTCTGTCCCTACCCTGCCCTCCGCCTTTCTCTATAACTGCCTTTCAAATAAATAAAATAAATCTTAAAAAAAAAAAAGCAAGCAGAGATTCAAACTTGTATACCAACATTCACAGCTGCAAAGGAGTGGCAAAACCCAACCACTCATCCAGAGATGAGTAGCAGGTGCTTAGGCTGGCGCTGTGGCGCAGCGGGCCAGGTCTCCTCCTGAGGTGCCGGCATCCCATATGGGTGTCGACCAGAGTCCCAGCTGCTCCTCTTCGGATCCAGCTCTCTGCTTATGACCTGGAAAGCAGTGGAAGATGGCCCCTGCACCCCTGTGAGAGATCCAGAAGAAGCTTCTGGCTTCAGCTCCACCCAGCTCTGGCTGTCGCAGCCACTTGGGGAGCGAACCAGCCCACAGAAGGCCTTTCTGTCTCTCCTTCTTTGTATGTGACTCTACCTCTCAAAGAAATAAATAAAATCTTGGAAAAAAAAAAAGATGACCTTGGGACTCTTGCACCCCAGGCCCAAGTCCTGGCCCTCCTGAATGCAGCTTCCTGCTAATGGAGACCCAAGCGCTGTGGCCCCTGCCACCCACGTGGAACATCTGGACCGAGTTCCTGGCTTCTGGCCAGAACGTGGGCACTCCACAACAGCAAAAGGGACGAGTCGATAAGCACACACAGGTGTGCAGGTGTTGTGTGCAGGTGGCAGGTGTTGTGGTGCTACTTGGGCCCACATCCCGTGTCAGAGTCCCACCACTGCTTCCAATACAGCTTTCTGCTAATGCACACCCTGGAAGGCAGCAAACAATGGGTAAAACCCCTGGGTCCCCGCAACCCACAAGGGAGACCCAGATGGAGCTCCTGGCTCCTGGCTTCAGCGGGCCCAGTCCTGGCTGTTATGCGCATTTGGGAAGTGAACCAGCAGAAGAAAGTCTGTGTCCATGTCTCTTTCTATAGGCCTTGCAAATAAACATTGTTTTTTAAAAAAGATTTATTTATTTGAAAGAGTCACACAGAGAGAGGAGAGGCAGAGAGAGAGAGAGAGAGAGAGGTCTTCCATCCGATGGTTCACTCCCCAATTGGCCGCAACAGCTGGAGCTGTGCTGCTCCGAAGCCAGGAGCCTCTTCTGGGTCTCCCACATGGGTGCAGGGGCCCAAGGACTTGGGCCATCTTCTACCGCTCTCCCAGGCCACAGCAGAGCTAGATGGGAAGTGGAGCAGCTGGGTCTCAAACCGGTGCCCATATGGGATGCTGGGACTTCAGGCCAGGGTGTTAACTCATTGTGCTATAGTGCCGGACCCAATAAACTTTTTTAAAGTTCTTAAAAAAAAAAAAAAAGAGAGAGAGAGAGAGAGAGCGCGCTTCCATTCGCTGGTTCACTTCTGAAAGGGCCGCTATGGTCAGGGCTGAGCCGGGTTGAAACCAGGAGCCTAAAGCTTCTTCCAAATCTCCTACCTGGGTGCAGGGCCCGGGACTTGGGTCACCTCCCACTGCTTTCCCAGGGCATCAGCAGGGAGCTGGAGGGGAAGTGGAGCAGCTGGGACTCTAACAGGCATCACAAACAGCAGCTTCACCTGCTCTGCCACAGCACTAGCTTCTAAATATAAAAAAAAAAAAAAAAAAAAAAAAAAAAAGGCCGGTACCACAGCTCACTAGGCTAATCCTCCGCCTGCGGCACCAGCACCCTGGGCTCTAATCCCGGTTGGGAGGCCAGATTCTGTCCTGGTTGCTCCTCTTCTAGTCCTGCTCTCTGCTGTGGCCCGGGAAGGCAGTGGAGGATGGCCCAGGTGCTTTGGCCCTGCACCCCATGGCAGACCAGGAGGAAGCACCTGGCTCCTGGCTTCAGATCGGCGCAGCACCGGCCGTAGTGGCCATATAGGGGGTGAACCAACGGAAGGAAAACCTTTCTGTCTCTCTCCCTTTCACTGTCTAGCTCTGCCTGTCAAAACAAAACAAAACAAAAAAAACACACATAAATCCCCTCTCTGTCTCTGCCTCCCTGTAACTCTGCCTTTCAAGTAAATAAATAAATATTTCTTAAAATACATAAATCAAGATAGAAAAATTCTGAAATGAGGCTCCAGATCCCAGAGAAACATTAGAAATAAAAGTAAAACATGATTGCAAGAAAAAAATATGAAGCTGGAAGAAGCCTGAGAACAAAACTCCACAGAAGACAGCGTAAGGACAGAGATGGGCCGTGCTCCACCTGCAGCACCCGCATCCCATACGGGTACCAGTTCGTGTCCCGGCTGCTCCTCTTCTGATGCAGCTCCCTGCGAATGGCCTGGAAAAGCAGTGGAAAATAGCCCAAATGCTTGGGCCCCTGCACCTGTGTGAGAGACCACGCAGCTCCTGGCTCCTGGTTCCAGACAGGCCCAACTCCAGCTGTTGCAGCCATCTGGGGAGTGAACCAGTGGAGGAACAGATCTCTCTCTCTCCCGCTCTCTGTCTGTAACTCTGCCTCTCAAATATATAAATACATCTTTAAAAAAAGGAGGAAAATACTTTTAATGAAAAGAAATAAAGGGATAAACAAGGACGCCAGAGAGAGGGACCAATTTAAGACAGGGAAGGCCCAACACACGCCCAAGGGAGGCCGACAGAGCCGGGACAGAAACAGAAGCTCAAGGCCTCTGGGGAGTGAGCTCTGTGCAGCTGCACCCTGGAGCACGCGTTCACGCTCGCAGGACACAGCATTGCGATGCACGGACAAGGGAGCGCCACCTAAGACGTCGGGAAGCAGCTGTGAACCACGGATTTTACACTTCGCACGCACGTGCCGCAGGAAGGACCCAGGAAGTGCTGCCGGCTCGCAGGGACTCGGCACGCCGTGGGCGCTGTGGTCCTTCCCACAAACACTGGAGACCAAGCCCATCCAGCTCCAGCAGGGTGGGGGCGGGTGTGAGCGCTGGGTGAGCCGGGCTGTCTGGGAGAGGACACAGCCAGCGCTGGCTACACCCCTACAGGGCAGAGGCTGAACAGCAGACGGGACGACCCCTCCCAGCCACGCAACAGGAGTGAACTGTCATCCTGTGGTGTGTGCGGCAGGAGACGGCGTAGTTCCGAGTGCTCTAACCCTCTCTTCTCCTACTCCTCGAGGAGACAGAGCTCAAGTGAACGTCCCGGCTCCTCCAGTGGAGCAGCCCAGAAGGGGCAGCTTCTCCAGCACCCAGGCTGCTCCCTCGGCCATCACTGCAAGGCCACTAAGGAAGAGGGGCTGCAGGAATGGCTCGGTCCATGCCGGGCCGCAAGGACACCCTGGCTCCCACGCACCAGGCCTCTCACCCTGGAATCCTGTCAGAAGGAGCCAGGAGCCAAGCAAGGGCTCCCACTGCCTGACGTCAGACAATCTGATACAAAGACCATGATAAAAGCAACACTTAAACATGTGTCAAATATGTTTAAACTCAGAAGTTCACATACCAGAGTAAAATCCCAAATGGTCACCTCCAACAGAGGCTAGGAGAATGGTTCCCTATCTCGTCCCCACAGGGCCTGCAGCACCAGACACCATAACCAAATGTCGGAGAGGCTTCCCTTCAGCACCCACCTACCTGGTCTCCACTGGCAAGGACCAGGTTTTTTCCATACCATTTGTGAACTCTTTTCCTAACATAGAGTGAATCACATGAGTACAAAGTTCACTGGAAACAGATCTTAGTAAAAATAAGGCTGGGAATGGGGGGGCACAGTGGGGAGAGTCGGCACGCTCCTGCAGTGGCAATTACGAAGTGCAGGAAGCTTGTACTCCTTCAGTAAGAGGTTCCTGGGGAAGAAAAAGAAAGCAGCAGTAACCGAACCAGAGCACCCAATTTTGAAACTGGGTGTGAATTAATACGGGCGGGAATAGAGTAGCTAAGGAGGGGGCTAGCAAGGAGGAGATGGGGTCAGCAGGCCCTCCCTGCTGTACCACCCACACCCCGCCTCTGCACCCGAAAACCACAGCTTCTGTGGTGTCCTGGCTTCGAACCCATGCTGGCCAAAAATAGCCAATATGGCAGCAAGCTGCATTCCCATCACGACCTCTAGCTACTTTACAAGGTCACTTTGATAGAATTACCATCCCATCATGCACTTGTTGCCACAACACTTCCAAGATGTCCAAAACGGGCCACATTCAAAGGCGGCACCCAGACTCCACTCCTTATGAATATTCAGTTAACACACCCTACCACCCACTCCCAAGTCCCCTCAAGGGAGGGTCCTGAGCCCTGCTGAGCGAACCCTCTCTCTAAGACTGTGCACTTCTGTATGCAAACAGATCTCTCACAGACCCTGGACCCTGGAACCAGCCGCCCCATGAAGGTCAGGGCACCCACTGAAAAGGCGTCTTCCCAGAGGTCAAATCTGAATCTGATCAAATCTACAGAGGAACTACGAAGACCCAAAAAACACGGGACAGAGGATAATCAGTCCACACCAGAGGGCGCGTGGCCCAGCGCACCACTCACTTTGCACAAGTGTGACTTCCAGGGGCCAGTGGGCGTACAGCCCAGCAGCAGAGACACCTGCATCCCACACCAGAGAGCCCGCGCCACACACAGAGAGCCCACGTCCCACACCACCAGAGAGCCCACGTCACAGAGAGCCCACGCCACACACCTGAGTGCTCGCGTCACACACCAGAGTGCCCACATTGCACACAGAGCCCACGTCCCACACCAGAGGGCCTGCATCCCACATAGAGCCCATGTCACACACAGAGTCCGCATCCCACACCAGAGGGCCCCTGACACACACAGAGCCCACACTGCACACCAGAGTCCATGTCACACACCAGAGGGCCCGCATACACAGAGAGAGCCCACCCACATCGCACAGCAGAGGGCCCCCGACACTCACAGAGCCCGACTCCAACTCCTGACTTCAGCTTCCACCAGCGCAGCCCGTAGGAGGCACTCGGGTAACTGAGTTCACACCACCTGTGTGTGAGACCCGGCCTGTAATGCTGGCTCCAGGATTCAGCCCCCGTCCAGTCCCAGGCATCTGGGAAGTGAACTGGTCAGAGGGGGCTGTCTCTCTCTCTCCTTCTCTCCTCTCCCTCCGTGTGTGTGTGTCTGTGTGCGTCTCTCCACCTCTCAAATATATAAAACAAGCAAAGAATCTAAAAATGAAGGCTTCTGAGGGGTGGGTAGCTGGCATAACCTGTATGCTAGGAGACTGAAAGGTCACGCACTGGGGCGCCACGCCCCACAGAGAGCCTGGACCACGCTGGCTTCTACACGTCCTGCCCAGCCTCCTGCCTGTGTGCCTGGGAGGCAGATGATGGCCCCCTACACTTGCGTCTCTGCCACCCACTGGGGGACCCAAACCGAGTTTTAGCCTCCTGGCCCAGCCCTGGTGGTTACGGCATTTTGGAAAGTGAACCAGCGGATGGAAGATCTTTCAAATAAACAAACCTAAAAAAAAAAAGGCGCAGCTTAACTAATGTTTAAGAGATGCTCAGTTCAGTCATAAAACTATAAACACAAATAAGGAAATAAACACCCAGCATAACAGCGGGGCTGGGGTTCTGTTAGCAGGACACAGGCCGACAGGCAGGCCAGGGGCCGGGGCACGGGGCGAGCTCCTGACACGAATGATGTCGTGATGGACCCATCGGAAGCAACTCACAGGCTACGCATCCGAGTTAGCCCATTTCTGTCTAAGCCACACTTTAATAGAATGTTTAAAAAATGGCTTAAACCACATCTGAGGAGCCAGAGGAACCTGGGCGTGGCGGCACTGGCAGTGCAGAAGCAGAGGGCAGAGCCTGCAACTGGACAGCGCGTGCAGGCCTGGTCACGCTGCAGAGCCAGCACAATGCCGAGGTCTGACCGGCCTCGCGCCCTGACAGGCTGAAGCCTAATCCCCGTTAGGAGACCTTAAGAAGGGCACCTGTGAGAGGCCAGCGGATTAAAGGGCGTCGCGGGAGGGGCTGACTGTGGAGGGCGGTCTGGCCAGGTCCCTCATCGTGTGGCACTCTCGGGACTCTGCCAGCCAGAAGAGCCAGCGTGAAATGGCCCTCAACCTGGACCACACATCCCTCTGCTCTCTGACCCACCTAGTCCGTGACCGTGTCATCAGCAACCCAGAGGGGGCTAAGACAGTTAGGCCACTCTGTGAGACACCACTCCACCCCTCAGCTCCCACTCCTGAACCCCAACGCTGGGCCAGGGACTGCCATGGGCACGTGTGGAATGAACCAGTGGGGATCCCACAGTGGGCGGGAGGACTCTCTATTAGAATTTAACATAGGTCAGGGACGGCGCTGTGGCGTAGTGGGTAAAGCCACTGCCTGCAGTGCCAGCCTCCCATATGGGTGCCAGTTCGAGTCCTGGCTGCTCCACTTCCAATTCAGCTCTCTGCTATGGCCTGGGAAAGCAGTGGAAGATGGCCCAAGTCCTTGGGCCCCTGCACCCACGTGGGAGACCTGGAAGAAGCTCCTGGCTTTGGATCGGCACAGCTCTGGCTGTTGCAGCCAACTGGGGAGTGAATCGGTGGACGGAAGACCTCTCTCTCTCTCTCTCCCCCTCTCTCTCTCTCTCTCTGCCTCTCCTTCCTGTGTAACACTGACTTTCAAATAAATAAATTAATTTAAAATATGAAAGTATTCTTGTAACCTTGACTCACAGGAAAACAAAACTGACCACACTGGGGAAAAGGATGGATCAGGCCCCATTAAAATTAAAAACTTCAGAGAAAAACACAAACCTCTGTTTTCATCAAGAGAATAAAAGAGCACAGTTTGGAGTAAGAGGATGTTTAGAGAAGGGCAAAGTCTTCGTGGCAGGGGCTGGCGCTGTGGCACTGTGGGCTCAGCCGTAGCTGGGATGCCGGCACCCCACACTGGATTCCTGCTACTCACCAGGCAGCAAAGGAGGCGCCAGGCGTTTGGGCCCCTGCCACCCACGAGGGAGACTAGGATGGAGTTCCTGGCTCCAGTTTCAGCCTGGCCCAGCCCTGGCTGTCACGGCACTGAGGGTGGAATCGACCCATCAATCACACTGTCTCTCCCTTCCCCTCTCCCTCTGTTGCTCTGCCTTCCAGATAAGTCCATAAAGCAATCATATAAAAAAGCGTTGTGGGCCACCACTGTGGCACAGCAGGTAAAGCTGCTACCTGTGGCACCAGCATCCCACATGGCCGTTGGTTCAAGTCCCAGCTGCTCCACTTCTGATCCGGCTCCCTAGTAATGCACCTGGGAGAGGAGATGGCCCACGCCCCTGAACCCTGCACCCATGAGGGAGACCTGGAAAAAGCTCCTGGCTCCTGATCGGCCCATCTCTAGCCATTGCGGCCATTTGGGGAGTGAATCAGTGGACAGATCTCTCTGGCCCTGCCCCCGCCCCTCATCACAGCCTTTCAAATAAATAAATCTTTTAAAAAAAAGTACATTAGCAGAAACGTCGTCAGCAGCCGTCCGAGTGCCAGCAAGTAGATGGACTGGCGCTCAGCCTCACTCAGTTTCCCATCGTCTATGAGGCCCCCCCCCCAACACCATGGAGTACCGCGGCCTTACTCTGTCTGGGCAGCCACGCCCAAACGCCATGAACCGGGCTGTGCGGAAACAAACTTACTTCTCTCCGTTCCCGAGGCGGGACGCCCAAGGTCAGAGGGCCGGCAGCTGCATTCTGCTGAGGGTCTGCTTCCTGGTTCGGAGGGCACCTTCCCCCAGAACCTCGCTCTGCGGTCTCTCCTGCAAGGGCACAGATCCCAGCCGTCACACTCAGTCTATGGCATCCTAACAGGCAAGACGCTCACAAGAGAAACGCCTGCAGACACAGCCACAAGTGACAGAGAAAGGTTCAGGCAGCATTCATAAAGGAAAAGGCGCTACCGGGCCGATACCCATGGCGCCAAATTCAAGCAATGGAATACCCTGCAGGAGGGAGCATGAAAAACTACCATTACATGCAGCACACAGAACAAGCAACGTGTGATCCCACCTTCAGGAACCAGAGGAAGAAGTTGTTGTCAGGGGTAACTGCTTTTATTTCTTGAATATTTATTTGAAAGGCCAAGAAAGAAAGGGCCATCCACTGGTTCACTCCCCAATGGCTACAACAGCCAGGGCTGGGCCAGGCGGAAGCCAGGAGGCAGGAGCTCCATCCAGGTCTCCCAGGTGGGTGCAGGGGCCCAGGGACCTGGGCTGTCACCTGCGCATCACCACCCTTCCTGGCAGAAGCTGGATCGGATCATAAACAGCAGCTGGTTGTGGGCGCTGCAGGCTGCCTGACCCCCGCACCACAGCACCCCTCCCCCGAGAAGGAAGGAGGGGACGGAAGAGGTGGTTTCCATCTCTGGGTGCTGGTGGGATGGACCTGGCCTGTCTCACGAGCTGACAATTCACCAAGACGGGCATCTGCCTGCACGTGCCTCACACTTCACAAAGAAAAGCGTAAAACTGGTAACCTCCTCAGGCACCACAGCTCACACCTGGGCACTGCCTGACACCCACATCCAACTCTGGGCTGCAACGGGGCCCCCACACCCCCTGAGGCCTGCTCCCCGGCGCACGGGGCCCCCACACCCCCTGAGGCCTGCTCCCCGGCGCACAGGGCACGCACAGTACCCACCACAGACACGTCTGCACGGTGTGTGCAGTTTACCTGTGGTAATTATGGAAGACTTGCACTTTCTGCTTCATGCATTTCTCTACTACTTGACTATTTTTATGCATAAATAAGCATACAGAGCAATGACACTTGAACTCCAGGGAAATGCTGTCATTTATTCTTAGATTTACTCTAAATAAAACAGTTTTCCTACTACACTAGCACTGACTTCAGAAAAAGAAGGCATATCAGTGTTGGTTTTTATGCCACAAACAGATCATTCTCCTGTGGCCTGCTGGTAATTTCACATCTATGTCAACAATTTGGATTTTGTTACTTATCCCAGAACTGGGGGGATGGTACCCCAGCCTTGAGAAGCACATCTGGGTGGTACCCAGAGTCAGCCTTTATTTTATTAAATGTTTTCTCCTTTATTTGAAAGGCAGAGCTAGAGACAGAATCTTCCACTTGCTAGTTCACTCCCCAAATGGCTGCAGCGGCTGGATGGAAGCCAGGAGCCAGGAGCTACATCCGGGTCTCCCACATGAGCCGTCCTCTGCTGCTTTCCCAGGCGCATCAGCAGGGAGCGAGATCAGAAGTGAAGCAGCTGGGACTCCAACGGGCAGCTGTACGGGATGCGGGCACCGCGGGTGCTGCACCACAGCACAGGCCCCGGAGCAGCCTTCATGCCATGGCTTGATTCTGTCTCCAGCAAACATAATTACTGTAAAAATGCACTCGGCCTGCTGACACGCAAAGCAGGGCAATCCATGACAAATACAGCAGAGTCCTGGGGCCAGTGCTGTGGCGAAGTGGGGAAAGCCGCCACCTGCAGTGCCGCCCACCTATATGGCCACCGGCTCGAGTCCCAGCTGTTCCACTATCAATCCAGCTCTCTGCTGTGGCCTGGGAAAGCAGTGGAAGACGGCCCAAGTCCTCGGGCCCTGCACCCACGTGGGAGACCCTGAGGAAGCTCCTGGCTCCGGATCAGCACAGCTCCGGCCACTGCAGCCAACTGGGAGTGAACCAGCAGATCGAAGACCTCTCTTTCTCTGTGTAACTCTTTCAAATAAATAAATCTTAAAACAAACAAACAAAAAAGGGCAGATCTCGTCACTCCAGCCCCGGTCTCCCAGGATGGGAGCCAGGGTCACTTGCCCTGCCAATCTCTACAGCTGGCACGCTGTGCTCACACCAGGGACTAACTACACCAGCTAGGAAAATACCACCACACAGACGGAGAGCATCAGCAACCCTAAATTATAACCGTAGACGGAAAGGGGAGGGAGAGGCAGAAATGAGAGCTTCGAAACCAAAATTTTCTGGAAGTCATTTTACATTCTTCTAGTTTCAAAGACAAACACGGGGCGGGCGTCGTGGTGCAGGGAATGAGGCTGCCACTCGGTGGAAGCCGGCATCCCACATCAGAGTGCCCGGCTCAAGTCCTGGCTACTCTGGGCTTCCTTTTCTTTAAAAGATTTATTTATTTGCTTGAAAGTCAGAGTTACAGAGAGAGAGAGAGAAAGAGATCTTCTATCCACTTGTTCACTCCCCAGGTGGCCACAATAGCTGGGGTCAGAGAAGGCCAAAGCCAGGAGCCAGGAGCTTCTTCCAGGTCTCCCTTGTCGGTGCAGGGCCCAAGCATTTGGGTCATCTCCTGTTGCTTTTCCTGGGCAGCCAGGTCTCAAACTGGTGCCCACCTGGGATGCCGGCACTGCAGGCGGCAGCTTTACCTGCTACACAATGCTGGGCCTTACTCTGGGCTTCTGATCCAGCTTCCTGTTAACGTGCCTGGGAAGGCAGCACACACTAATGCAAGTACGCCGACCCCTGTCACCCCCACGGGAGAGCGGCACGGGGTTCCAGGCTTTGACCTGGCCCAGCCCTGGCCATTATGGCCATCTGGGGAGTGAATCAGCAGATGGAAGCTCTCTCTCTGCAAAAAAAAAAAAAAAAAAAAAAAAGTCTCTGAAAGAGAGATGGAAATAAGGAAACTACCTTTTAATAGTAAAATCAATCAACCAGGGGCTGGCTGGCTGGCGCTGTGGCGCAGTGGGTTAAAGACGTGGTGTGCAGTACCGACATCCCATATGGGCGCTGGTTGGTGTCCCGGCTGTTCTACTTCTGATCCAGCTCTCTGCTGTAGTCTGGGAAAGCAGATGGCCCAGGCACCTGTGTGGGAGACCTGGAGGAGGCTCCTGCCTCCTGGCTTTGGATTGGTGCAGCTCCGGCCATTGCAACCATCTGGGGAGTGAACCAGCAGATGGAAGACCTCTCTTCCTCTCTGTAACTCCGCCTTTCAAATAAATAACTAAATCTTAAAAACAAACAAAAAACCTGATTGTGTATCAAATTGGGCAACGTTAACCAGAGAAAGAATATTTGTCAAGGAATTTAAAACAGTACTTTATTTATTCCAGGCAGAATTCATACTAAGGACAAAGGAATGTAAAAACAAAACCCCCACACTCTCTGCTGAGTAGTCTGATCATCAGCAGTAATAGAGGCAGCTCTGCGTGAATTTTGCGTGACTTTCAGCACAGGGCGGACCCCCCTAACACCACCCTCAGCATCGGCTGCTCCAGGACCCCCTGAGGACGTGAAGTCGGCAGCTGCTGGAGTCTGTTAGATAACACGTGGCAGTGACTGTGCCACTTTAAAGTCTTTAGATTACTTACAATACCCACACTGTGTCAACAGTCGCTACACTGTATTGTTTAAGTTACCCTTGCTCAGTACAGGCCAAGTCTTTGCCACAGGGTTTTGATCTGCAGTCGGTTGACTCCACGGATACAGAATCCAGACACAGAAGGCCAAGTGTATCCAGATGTTCGGGGCAGTGGTCAAGATGCTGCCTAGGACGCTCACATCCCATACGGGGACACCCAGGCTCGAGTCCCGGCTCTGTTTCCAATGCCAGCGTCCCGCTAATTCCCACCCTGGGAAAGGCAGGTGAGACCTGGATTGGGCTCCAGGATCCTGACATCAGCCTGGCCCAGCTCCGGCTGTTGCAGGCATTTAGGGAATGAACCGGCAGATGCAAGATTTCTCTGCCTTTCAAAGAAAATAAAAATAAACTTGAAAAAGAGGTTGGATATTTTTAAAGTAAAAAAGAAGTTTCAGGATGAGAAAAAGATACAAAATGTTTATCTTAAACCTTTTTCCTACCCCCATTTAAAAAATTTAATTTGAAAGTGTGTGTGTGGCCTTACATGAGTGAATGAGTGAAATGTGCCAGGTGAGCACACAAGGCGGAATCTCACTCCGGTTTATTCCCCAAGTGCCCACAATAGCTGGGCTGGGCCAGGCTGAAGCCAAGAGGCAGGAGCCCCACCTGTGTCCCCTACATGAGCGGCAGGGTACTTGGGCTGCTGTTGCTGCCTCCCAGGCTTAGTAAGGAGCTGGACTTGAACTGGCACTGTGATATGACAAAATTTCAAGAATCAAAAACATAAATAAAATTTTAAAAATAGATAAATGTAAGTAAGACCACTTAATTTTATTTTGTTAGTTTCATTTCATGTCTTTTAAACTTTAATACATTTATGAATTTTTTCCACATATCTTAATACACTTTCCTAATTAACCTTTCCTAAAGTAGATTTATTATGTCACTGGATACCAAGTATCTATGTTTATTTATTTATTCATTTTTAAAGATTTATTTTTATTTATTTGGAAGACAGAGTTAGAGAGAGAGAGAGGTCTTTCATCCGCCTGCTCACCTCTCAAATGACTGCAACAGCCAGAGCTGAGCTGATGCGAAGCCAGGAGCTTCTTCTAAGTCTCCCACACAGGTGTAAGGGCCAAGGACTCGGGCCATCTTCTACTGCTCTCCCAGGCCATAGAAGAGCGCTGGACAGAAGTGGAGCCGCCGGGACTTGAACCGGTGCTCATATGGGATGCTGGCGCTGCAGGCCGGGGCTTTAACCTGCTGCACCACAGTGCCAGCCCCAAAACCATTTAATTTTAAACTTGTCTTAAAAATATCAGTATCAGGGCCAGTGTTGCTGCGTAGCAGGTAAAGCCACTGCCTGCAATGCCAGCACCCCATGTGGGTGCCAGTTCAAGTCCTGGCTGCTCCACTTCCGATTCCTTCTGATGGCCTGGGAAAGCAGCGGATGATGCTGGGCCCCTGCATCCACAGGAGAGACCTGAAGAAGCTCCTGGCTTTGGTCTCCGCAGAGCCCTGGCTGTTGTGGCCATCTGGGGAGTGAACTGGTGAATGGAGGGCCTCTCTCTCTCTCTGCTCCTCCTTCTCTCTTTCCATTGACTTCTATTCATACTAAGGAAGCACAAAGAAAGCGGGAACAGCAGGGCCGGCACTGTGGGGTAGCGGGTAAAGCCGCCTGCAGTCCAGCATCCCATATGGGCACCGGTTAGAGTCCCGGCTGCTCCACTTCCAATCCAGCTCTCTGCTGCGGCCTGGGAAAGCAGTGGAAGATGGCTCAAGTCCCTGGGCCCCTGCACCCACGTGGGAGACCCGGAGGAAGCTCCTGGCTCCTGGCTTCAGATCCATGCAGCTCCGGCTGTTGCAGCCAGCTGGGGAGTGAACCAGCGGATGGAAGACCTCTCTCTCTGCCTGCCTCTGCTCTCTGTAACTCTGCTTTTGAAATGAATAAACAAATCCTTTAAAATAATAAAACAGGCCGGCGCCGGGGCTCACTAGGCTAATCCTCCGCCTTGCGGCGCCGGCACACCGGGTTCTAGTCCCGGTTGGGTGCCAGATGTCCCGGTTGCCCCTCTTCCAGGCCAGCTCTCTGCTGTGGCCAGGGAGTGCAGTGGAGGATGGCCCAAGTGCTTGGGCCCTGCACCCCATGGGAGACCAGGAGAAGCACCTGGCTCCTGGCTTCAGATAGCGCGGTGTGCCGGCCACAGCGCGGCGGCCGCGGCGGCCATTGGAGGGTGAACCAACGTCAAAAAGGAAGACCTTTCTCTCTGTTTCTCTCACTGTCCACTCTGCCTGTTAAAAAAAAATAATAATAATAAAACAAAAAGGGGGGGGGACAGGCAGCCTTCCTGGGAAGACTCGGATTAATGAATGCGAACAGCCGGAGCCGCCCGGGAGGCACAGCACCCACTGCTTCCCGGGCAGAGACGCCAGCGAGCGCCACTGTGCCGAGGACACCGCACTGCTGAGACGGGGAGCCCAGAGCCAGAGCCCAGAGCGGGAAAGGGTTAAATTTCAGAACCTGGACCCAGGGCTCTCTCCAAGAGATGTGGTCAGAAACCCCGATAAGGCTCCCTTGGAAACAAGGCACATTCCAAAGCAAGCAAACAGACCGCGGGCAGGTCGGTCGGTCGGTCCGTCGTTGCCTACGCTGTCCCTAAAACGTCAGCGCTGTTGGGATTGCTCTGCTCACCTGCGTGGGTCCGCAGCACCTCCCCTTTGCCTGGGGTCAGGCCGGCCGGGGCCCGGAGCGGCTGGAAGGGTCTCTGTCCTGTCCTTTTACTCGCAGGTCGGTGCGCCAGTCACTGGAGCTCTCCCAGACAGCAAGCAGACGGCCTGCTCTTGGCAGCAGGGCAGGTGCAGCGCAAACCACGAGGTGAGCTGCGATTAGCGGCTGCGCATGAACACTCTGCGAGGCCGTGAGGCCGGAGGACACAGCAGTACAGGGCAGCCGGCCCGCAGGGCCAGGGCGCGGGGTCCAACGGCTGACATGGAGGGCAGGCAGCGGCAGCCGTCGGCACGGGAGCCTCAGCCGTTCCTGCCGTACACACGCTCGGCTGGGAAGGCCACCAGCCTGACCTGAGCGGAGCGCCCGGCTTCCAGGTGCCAGGCCAGCACTTTCCACGCAGGTCACTTATGCACACTCAAGTCTACCGAGTCCCCGGGGGGCAGGGGCACAGCTGGAGAGAGGGGCTCAGGGCTGAGCTCACAGGGCCCCTTCCCGCGAGGGATTCTCAGCAGGGTCTCCCACAGAAGCAGGCACCCCTCCGCCCTCACTTTTCCATTTCTGTCCCTCCTCTGTGTCCTCCCAGTGTAGGCCCTGCAGGTGGGACAGCGCCAGGCAGAGCAGAGGGGCGAGACTGCACAGCGGCCAGGCCCCCCTCACCCACAGGGAGCCCGGAACCCGAGTGACCAAAAGCGCAGATCAAACAGGCAGTGAGGACGTGATGTGAGCTGTCCCAGGTGAAGAAGGCCAAGGTGGCCAGCAGCATGGGAGGGAAGGGCATGGACGCTGGGCCCAGGAGATGCCCGCAGAGGCCAAGGCTGAAAGGCCGGGGACAAAGCCTGATCAAGTCGCTGACCCTTGGTGAAACACAACATGTAAATAACAATGGATTCCCTCAGCTCCTGAGTTTCAATAATGCCCTGGGAAAAGGGGCGACAGACCCTGGCCCTCTGAGCTGCTCAGGGCTCCCATCACCCAGCACACAGAGAAGGAAATCAGACCAGAAGCAAAGTCAGGCCAAAGAGAAACAAACGACGCAGATGCAAAACGGAGAGCAGGGAGGCAGGGGCCCTGGTCACCACTGTCTTCAGCCCCAGGCCCACCGGGATCTGGACACACAGGCACAGCCGCACCAACACCCCATCAGTCCTTGCCAAAAACACAGAAGCCAACCAGCTCCCTTGAGAATTCACCTGAAGCTTTCTCCACGGTGTCTGGGAGTTTTCACACGCAAAACACCATCATCCGGGGTAAGCCGGAATTCACTGTCAAGTGGACTAAAAATCTTAGCTGCGGGGCCGGCGCTGTGGCGCAGGGGTAAGGCCGCCTCAGTGATGCGGGCGCCCCACGTGGGTGCTGGACCCAGACCGGGCAGCTCCACTTCCGACCCAGCTCCCTGCTGTGGCCTGGGAAGGCAGTGGAAGATGCCCAATGCTTGGTCTGCACCCACGTGGGAGACCTGGATGCAGCTCCTGGCTCCCCGCTTCTGACCGGCCCACCCGGGGCCACCTGGGGAGTGGACCAAAGGATGGAAAACCTGTCTCTCCCTCTCTCTGTAAACTCTGCTTTTCAAGTATAAATAAATGTGGTGTTTTTTTTTAATCACAAACCTAAATAAAGTCTTGGCTGCCTTCCGCGCAGGAGGGGGTGTTCTCTGCAACTTTCTGAAGACCCGGGGTCTCCCTGAGCCTGTGCAAACCCTCTCCTAGGAGAGCGCAGGGCACAGGTACCAGCGGCGTGGGAACCCCGGGCGCGCGCGCGGGGCGTGCGGGGCGTGCGGGCAGGGAGCGGCCGGCCCCTGGGACCCTCCCGCGCACCGGCGCAGCCTGCGGGGCCCCAACCAAACCCTCGCGCCCTGCGGAGCCCAGCGCGGCCCCCGCCCTCGCCGGAGCGGCTCGGGGCTCGGGACGGCGCTCGAGGTGACCGCGGGCAGCTCCGGGCACGCCACTTCCCTTTTCCCGGGAGCCGGCGCCGGGGACGCGGGGACCGGGGGCGCACGCAGCCCCGGCCCGCCCCGGCGGCGCGCCCGGAAGCACACAATGAGGCGCCGCTCACCTGCCGCCCGGGGTCCCCTCCCGCGCCAACTCGTGCGCTGCGTGTTTTGTCAACAGCACCCGCGGCCCGGAAGCACCGCGCGCCGCGGGCAGCTGTCAGCCGCGCCGCGCGCGCGGGTCAGGCCCCGGCGGCCGCGCGCGCCCCGACCCCGGCCCGGCCCCCGCCCGGCGCAGACAATGGCGCGGCGGCCCGGCCCCCTCCCGGCCCCGCGCGGTCCGGCCGGCGTGCGGACGCTCGGCGGAGGTGGCCCCGCGCCCCGCCGCGCACTCACCTCAGCCGGGCGCCGGGCCTCGGGCGGCGCGGCTCCGGGGCAGGACGACGGCGGCGCGGGCGGACGCGCTCCCATTCATTAGCCGCGGCTTTGTCTGCCCCCGCGGCCCCTCCCCGCGCCCCGGCCCCGCCGCCGCCGCCCGCGACGCCGCCGGACGCTGCGCCCCTCCCAGGGCCCCGCGCGCGCGCTCGGGGGCGGGGCGGCGGGCGGCCGCACGCAGGCGCAGTTCCCGCGCGCCGGGCCCGCCCCGAGGCGCGCTCGGGCGGGCGGCTCGGGGAGGGGCCGGAGGGACGCCGAGGGGGCGGGCCCGAAGGACCACGCAGACGCAGTTCCGCGCGCCCACCCGCCCCAGGCCTCGGCGGGACGCGCAGGCGCAGTCCCACGCGCCGGTCCCTGCCCCGCCCCCGGGCGCAGCGGTCTACGCAGGCGCAGTCCAGGGCGTTCGCCCCGCCTAGGGGCTCGGAGGGTCGCGCAGGCGCACTCGGGGCCGGGCTGCGGGGTCCGGGCGCGTGGGAGGCGGGGCGCGGCGGCCCGCGGAGCTTCCGGCTGCTCCTGCTGGACTGCCGGCTTCCGGAGCTGAGCGTAGCCTTTCTCTGGCTGAGCGTTTGGCGCGGAACTCGAGACTACTCCCTGTTGACGCGGGACGGCTGCGTTCGCACGCTGGCGCCGCGGGGAGTGCCGCGTCCGGCGGCTGGCGGCGACGCCCCGGCCCCCGCCCGCTCGCCCCGGGCACGCCCGGTCGCACACCCTCCGCTCCGGGCGGCCCTCGAGGCCCCCGTGTGGGAACTCTGCCGCCGCGCCGCCGGCTCCCGGCTCTGCGTGTCCGCGCGTGTCCGGGTCGGCCTGCAGTCCCCAGGCTGCGCGCGGGAGAGGGACCGTGACGGATCGCGGTGTGGGTGGTGTGGGTGCTGGGGGAGCCGGGGCCGCGGCCTGCCCGCTGCCGGCCGCCCACCCACCTGCGGGAGGGGGCTGCCCTGGCCCTGGGGGCGAGGCGGGGCTCGGCCTGCGGCGGGCTCCGGAGGCACCTGGACGTCGCCGCCCCCAGCTGTGTGGCCTTGGACATGAGCCCAGCTGGTGCCGGCCCGAGTGGAAGCAGCCGAATCCCTCCGACACTGGTGACCGCTGGCCCCTGCAGTCGGTCGCCAGCGCACTTCCCCACCCGCCTGGTGGGCCGGGAGGAGTCTCCCAGAGGCGACGGTCACTGTGGGTGACCGGGACCTCTCAGCCGCAAACACCACCCCTCGCGTGAGGGATTCGCCCCCGAGGGCAGCGCCCCAGGAGAAAGTCCCCCCGGGCTCCTGGAGGTGTGGACCAGTGGACCGAGGAGGACACGGCCGGGAGGCAGCGTGTGCAGGGGCCGCATCCCTGCCCCCCCCCGAGGAGGGGGGGCTCAGCTTTTCTCGGGCCAGGTGTGGTGCAAGGCTGGGAAGGGGGTGCGGGGCCAGGGGCGGCCCAGGGGGCACCGCGGGGCTCGTCTTCCCTCCGCGGCCCAGGGCCGGGGCCCTGGGCCCACCCTGGCCCCCTGGTGAGCAGGGGCATTGGAGTGATGAGGGCATGGAGGAAAGGATCACAGGGAGCCGGGGGTCCCATTGTCTTGTAGGTCCCCAGCCAGGGTGGGGACACAGATGTGGTGGTATAGGGGGTGTGACTGTCCTGGCTTTGGGCGGCTGGACCTAGGGGAGGGAGGATCCCTGAGGCTAAGGCGCTGTGGCCAGGATGTCCCACGTCCCACTCGAGGCCCCCACTTGCTTCCTTTCACTGCCTGGCTGCCACCCCTCCTACCACGCACCCCCAGGAAGCAGAGAGGATGAGGCAGGCACAGTCCCCCGACCCGAGTCCAGCTCCGTGCGGTCACCTCAGGGCAGGCACAGTCCCCCCACCCGAGCCCAGCTCCGTGCCACCTCCTCAGGGCAGGCACAGTCCCCCCACCCCAGCCCAGCTCCGTGCGGTCTCCTTAGGCCCGTGGAGACCCCTCTTGCTGGCTACCCCAGCAGTGCTGAGACCCATGCAGCCTAGATGGCCCTGTTCTGAGCTTAGTGTGGGCTGGCTGGGAGGAGCCTGGCTGACCCTAACCCTAATGCTGCCCCTCCCTGGTGTTGTCTAAAGACAGGGTTGCAACACTTATTTTAAATTTTTTTTTAAATTTATTTATTTGAGATGGAGTGTTACAGAGAGGCAGGGGGAGAGGTCTTCCATGCAGTCCCCAAATGGCCACAATGGCTGGAGCTGTGCTGATCAGGAGCCAGGAGCTTCCTCTGGGTCTCCCACGCAGGTGCAGGGCCCAAGGACTTGAGCCATTTTCCACTGCTTTCCCAGGCCAGAGCAGAGAGCTGGATCGGAAGTGGAGCAGCTGGGCCTCAAACCGGCGCCCATTTGGGATGGGGACACTGCAGGCGGCAGCCCTCCCCGCTATGCCACAGCACCAGCTCTGGTTGCAGCAATTTAAAGACCTGAAGTGGCTGTGATGTATGACTCCAGGTGAGATGCTGGCAGAGCAGGCTGGGGGCTCCCACCTGTTGGGGGCTGGCGCTGTGCTGTCCTGACCGGGCCGCCCACAGCCCCGGCCTGAGTCAGCTCCCAGGGGGTGTCCCGCCTTCTCAGCACCTCCCCAGCCCCTGGGGAGGAGGCTGCTACTTCCCAGAAGTCAGTGGAGAGGAAGCGCCCGGTTCCACAGTTGCTTTGTGCCCTCAGGCTGGAGAGGCTGGAGAGCCCTGGCGCCCTGCTTCGCTCGCGTGCACTGGAGGGCCTCCCCCCTTCCTGGCAGCTGGAAGGGCCGACAGACGGTCAGGGAAGGCTGCCCCTGCGCTCCTGGGACCTCCGGAGCACCCGATGGTCACCGTGTCAGGAGGGGAGTGGGACTGATGTCACCACACCACCAGCCTGGGGGGCTGACCAAGCCTGAAACTGGCCAGGTATGGGGACCCTGGCCCTAACTGCTAACCCCTGATGGAGGGGTCCTAGTTCACAACCTGGGTCCACGCACTGCCTCTATTTCCCTGTCTGAGAAATGGGCTGAGGGTAGCACGGCTGCTCTGTGTGAGGGAGGAGCCACCTGTGCCAGAACCCAGCATGGCCCTGGTGCAGGCATGGGAGGGGAGCCGGAGTCTGCAACTGCTCAGCCCCCAGCTTTCCTAAGCCAGAAGGGGGGGAGGTAAGAGGAAGAGCCGGGGCCCAGCGGCAGTGGGGCCCCTCCCTGGGGGCGGAGGTGTGGAGGCAGTGAGGCAGCCAGCTGCAGCCGCAGCGATGACCCAGGGGCCCCAGGAGGTCTCGTGGGCGCTGCCTGGCAGTGGTGGGTACCTCAGCAGAGGTGGAGGTGGTGGGAAGAGAACTTCCAGTGGCGGGTGTACCATGGGCAGGTTTTAAATACAAACTCTTAAATTTAAGAAAATGAAAAAAGACTTTGTCCTCTTTCCTAATCTGATTTTGTTTTTAAATTTGTATTTAAGAGAGAGACAGAAAACTCCCGTCTGCTGGCCCGCTCCCCAGATGCCTTCGGTGGCCAGTGGGCAGGGCTGAAGCCGGGAGCGTGGACCCCAGCGCGGCTCTCCCCCGTGGGTGACAGGAACCCACTTCCCTCCCGGGGTTCCCGTCAGCAGAAGCTGGAGTCAGGAGCCCAAGCTGACCAGAGCCGGGTGTTGCAGCATGGGCTGTGGTTGTCTTCACCCGCGGCCAGCGCCTGCCTCCCGCCCGGAGCTCTCACCAGCAGCGTTCCCCGGACCTCCCCTGGCTGACGGCGGCTGCCGACGCCGACCGGCGGGGCCCAGCACACACCCCCACGGCCCACGGCGCATGACGTAGCAGGAAACGTATTTCTTCGCTGTCTCTGGCTCCTGCTGCAGAGCTGCGAATCCCTTGGAATCTCCTGGGTGATGGCAGCATCTTCCGTGCCGTGCGGGCCTCCCGGTGGGCTCCTGGTGGCCCCAGGCTGGGGGTGCTGGCCACTGGAAGACCAAGTGGTGACGGGCGTGGAGCTTTTAGCCCCACCTCCTGGGAGTGGGGGGCAGCTGGAGGCAGGGTTGATGATCAGTGACGCCCGTGTCCTGAAACCTCGGTGAGAGCCCCTGCGAGTCGAGGTCGTGGCGAGGGCATCCGTGGGCACCCGACCCCGCGAGGCGGAGCTGCGGTCGGCAGCCCCCGGCCAGCTGTTGGGTGAACCCTTTCCGTGCCTAATAACGGTCTGGTAAACGAGCCAGTGTCTCTTCAAGTCCTCTGAGCCGATCCAGCAGATTGGCCTTTGACAGGTGGGGCTCCAGGGGCCACCCAGACTATTACCCACGCGGCACGGCGAGGGTCTGAGATGTGTCCGTCTCCCTGCCAGACGCCGTTCTTAGGAGAGCACAACAGCTGTTTCTTCATAGACCTTCTGGAACGTCTCTGAAAATGCTGTTGAGGTAATTGCAGACTGAGGTACAGTCCTAGGAAAGAATACAGGTGTGTAGTACACTCTGTTCGGTTTTCCCAGTCGATGGCATTTTGCAAAACTGGTAGAATATCATGCCCAGGACTGGCGCTGTGGCGTAGCAGATTAAACTGCTGTCTGCAGTGCAGTGCTGGCATCCCTTAGGGGCGCCGGTTTGAGGCCCGGCTGCTCCACTTCTGATCCAGCTCTCTGCTCTGGCCTGGGAAAGCAGTGGAAGATGGCCCAAGTGCTTGGGCCCCTGCACCCGCATGGGAGACCCTGGATGAATCTCCGGGCTCCTGGTTTTGGCCTGACCCAGCTGGGCTGTTACAGCCATTTGGGGAGTGAACTAGCAGATGAAAGACCTCTCTCTGTCTCTCCCTCTCTATCTGTAATTCTGACTTTCAAATAAGTAAATAAATCTTACCAAAATGAAATCACATCCAGTGTACAAGCGTTGATACAACCCATCGATCTTACTGGATTTCCCGTTTTACTTGCACACATCTGTCTGTGTCTATTAAATCCCATCCAGTTTTGTCCCGCCAGGAGCCTCCTGCACCCACAGACACTGAAGAGATCCAGTACCAGGCAGGAGCTCATCTTGTCCTGTTACAGTCACGCCCACCCCTCCTGCCCCGCCCACATCTCAGCGTCGGTTTGCATGGATTTGTCCTCCGAAAGTTACATGAACGGAGTGACATGGTCACCTTCGCTTATGATTATTTCTGCTCATTGTGGAGCTCCGAGCCGGGCCCACTGCTGGGTCTCCCTCAGTGGTGTGTTTCCATGTGCCCTGCGTGGACGGTGCATCGTGGTTTGACCACTGAAGGGCATCTGGGAGGAGTCCAGTTTTGGTCTTTGCTGTCAACATTTGTGTGCGCATGTTGATGGGAACAAAAGACCTCTCCTGGCTGAGTGAGCGGGCGCTCAGCTGCCTGCCGGGTCACGTGATAGCTGCAAGTTCAGTTTTTGAAGAAACCGCCAAATTGTTTTCCAAAGTGGCCGTACCATTTTACATTCCTGCCAGCAATGTGTGAGTAATCCGGTTTCTCCACGTCTTTGCCAGTGTGTTGCCACGACTTTTTACCTGTTTTTTTTTCCCTTAATCATTGGTTTCACAGAGACAGAGCTCTTCTCTGTTGGCTCATTCCCCAGATGCCTGCAACAGCCGGGCTGGGCTGGGTCAAAGCCACATGGCAGGATCCCAGTTTCTTTCTTTTTTTAAAAAGATTTATGTATTTTATTTGAAAGGCAGAGTTACAGAGAGAGGAAGAGACAGAGAATCTTTGATCCCCTGGATCACTCCCCAAATGGCCTCATCCACTGAGGCTTGGCCAGGCCAAAGCCAGGAGCTTCATCCAGGTCTCCCACGCGGGCGCAGGGGCCCAAGCACTCGGGCCGCCTCCTGCTGCCTTCCCAGGTGCATCAGCAGGGAGCTGGATCGGAAGTGGAGCAGCCAGGACTTGAACCAGCGCCCATGCAAGATGCTGGTGCTGCAGGCGGTGGCTAACTCACAATGCCAGAACCCGGTTCCTGAAGCCATCAGTGCCTGCCAGGCTCTGCATCAGCAGGAAGCTGAAGTCAGGAGCTGGCCCTGAGCTGAGCCCAAGAGCTCTGAGCTGGGACAGAAGCTTCTCATCAGACATTGCAGCTGCTGGGCGACGCAGCCGCCCACAGGCTTGACATTTTCGCGGGGTGATAGTTTGCATTTCCTTGATGGCTCACAACACCCAGCATCTCTGCAGGGGCTAATCTGCTCATGCTCTTCGCTGAAGCATTTCTTCACTTCTGCTGGGTTTCAGGTTGCCCCCACTCTTTCCTGTCGAGTTTCGGCAGCTCCATGTGTTCTGGCCGCCGCCTCTGCCCGGTGGCTCTTCTGCACATTTTCTCCCAGCGGTAGCTCGTCTTCGTCCTCTGAGCCGAGCGAGCGAGAGGTCCTGTTTACCAGTTTCTTGATGGCTCACACTTTTGGTGTCAGGCCCAAGAACTTTTTGCCTAGTTCTAGGTCCCAGAGAGTTTCTGTTTTTTTCCATAAGGGTTTTATGGTTTTACATTTCAGTCAATGATCTGGGACACAGTGCTTACACCACTGTTGGTGGTGCTGGCGTCCCATGTTGGAGTGTTGCTGTGAGTCCCAGCTGCTCTGCTTCCCACCCGGGTTCCTGCTGATGCGCTTGAGAAGGCGACAAAAGCAGGCCCAGTACACACACCCTGCCACTCAGAGCTCCTGGTCCCTGGCTTCAGTGTGGGTCAGTCCCGGGTGTGGTGGACGTGTGGGGAGTGAGCCGCAGGACGCACAATCTCTTTGTCGTTCCCTCTCTGTCACTGTGCCTTGCAGATAAAAAAGTCTTGGAGAACAAGGAGAAAGAAAAGGCTGACCTTTGTCCCTAGAAATGCTTTTGCTTGTCGGAGTGGGACGTGTTTGCGCAGCTCTTTTCCTGGGTTCTCCGCTCTGTCCTTGGCCTGCGTGTCTGTCCCTCTGACAGCACACGGTGTTGGTTATCGTAACAAACCAGGCAGAATGGCTCGTCCTGCTTTGATCCTCCTTTTTACAAATGTGTTAGCCATCATAGTTCCTTTGCTATTACATACGAATTTCAGAATAATCTTTCTTTATATCTACATTAAAAAAATCTTGCTGGCGTTTTCAACAGGAATTATGTTAAACTCATGTATCAAGAGTGGATGTTGGGGCCGGCGCTGCGGCTCACTAGGCTAATCCTCCGCCTAGCGGCGCCGGCACACCGGGTTCTAGTCCCGGTTGGGGCGCCGGATTCTGTCCCAGTTGCCCCTCTTCCAGGCCAGCCCTCTGCTGTGGCCAGGGAGTGCAGTGGAGGATGGCCCAAGTGCTTGGGCCCTGCACCCCATGGGAGACCAGGAAAAGCACCTGGCTCCTGGCTCCTGCCATCGGATCAGCGCGGTGCGCCGGTCGCAGCACGCCGGCCGTGGCGGCCATTGGAGGGTGAACCAACGGCAAAGGAAGACCTTTCTCTCTGTCTCTCTCTCTCACTGTCCACTCTGCCTGTCAAAAAAAATTAAAAAAAAAAAAAAAAAGAGTGGATGTTGGGCCAGCGCTGCGGCTCACTTGGCTAATCCTTCGCCTGCGGCACCGGCACCCCGGGTTCTAGTCCAGGTCGGGGCACCAGATTCTGTCCCAGTTGCTCCTCTTCCTGTAATGCTCTCTGCTGTGGCCTGGAAGTGCAGTGGAGGATGGCCAGGTGCTTGGGCCCTGCACCCCATGGGAGACCAGGAGGAAGCACCTGGCCCGTGGCTTCGGATCAGCGCAGCTCCGGCTGTAGCGGCCATTTGGGGGGTGAACCAACGGAAGGAAGACCTTTCTCTCTGTCTCTGTCTGTCTCTCTCTCTAACTCTGCCTGTCAAAAAAAAAAAAAAAAAAAAAGGTGGATGTTAATGCAGGGTCTAGCAGGCAGTGGTGATGGGTTCCTGCCACTCATATGGGAGACCTGGATGGAGCCCTGGAGCCTGGTTTTGGTTTGGCCCAATCCCGGCATTGTAGGCCTTTGGAGAGTAAACCAGCAGGTGGGCTTTCTCTCTCTCTCTCTCTCTCTCTCTCTCTCTTTCTCCTTCTCAAAAGCAAAAAACCTCTTACGTCAACTTGTAGAAGAGAGGGATGTTTACTGTTGGGTCTCCTGTCCGTGAGCAGAGTGTGCCTCCCGATTCGTTTGCATTTTGATTTCTTTCATAAGCATTTTATAGCTCCCAGCATACTTGTTGTTCATATGCTCTGTTAGATTTACATCTGTAGTTTCGTTTTATTTTAAACCGTGTAAATGATGTTGTATTTCACATCTCAGTGTTTGGGTTCATTACTAGTGATAGGAGTAACAGTTTACCTTACGTCCTGAGGCCCTGCCGAGCTCCTTAGTTCTAGGAGTCTTATAGGTAGCTTCCTTGGGCGAGTCTATGCAGGTAATCACATCATTCGCAGGCAGAGATAATTTTTAAATTTGTAAAGAAGGTTTATTTATTTATTTATTTGAAAGGCAGAGTTAGAGAGAGAGCACGATCCACTGATTCACGCCCCAGTGGCTGCCATGGCCAGGGCTGGGCCAGGTCAAAGGCAGGAGCCAGGAGCTTCATCCGGGTCTCCCGGGGGGTGCAGGGGCCCAAGCACTTGGGCCGTCCTCTGCTGCTTGCCCAGGCCATTAGCAGGGAACTGGATTGGAAGTGGAGCAGCAGGACTCTGACTGGTGGCCATATGGGATTCTGGAGCCACGGGCAGCGGCTTAACCTGCTAAGCCACAGCACTGGCACCTAGCATGTTCTATACATGTTTATATCCCGTGGGTGATGGTGTTGAGTTCTGTATCTTTGTTGACATTCTGCCTATCAGTTGTCAGCTGTGGGGCCTGTAAGTCCTCAACCAGAATTCTCTATTTCTCTATTTCTCCTTTCAGCTCTATCATTTTTTATTTATATACTTTTATTTTGGCATATGCACATTAGGATTGTTACGTCCTCCAAGTAAATTGATCCTGTCATCGTATGTAATGTTCCTCTCTATCCCTAGTCAATTCCTTTTATCTGAAGTGTGTTTTTTATTTTAATATATAATAAATAATTGCATTGTATGTAGTAACTATTATAATATAGTTACTGCTAATTTTTTTAAAGATTATTTGTTTGAGGCCGGCGCCGCGGCTCATTAGGCTAATCCTCTGCCTAGCGGCGCCGGCACACCGGGTTCTAGTCCCGGTTGGGGCGCCGGATTCTGTCCCGGTTGCCCCTCTTCCAGGCCAGCTCTCTGCTGTGGCCAGGGAGTGCAGTGGAGGATGGCCCAGGTGCTTGGGCCCTGCACCCCATGGGAGACCAGGAAAAGCACCCGGCTCCTGGCTCCTGCCATCGGATCAGCGCGGTGCGCCGGCCGTGGCGGCCATTGGAGGGTGAACCAACGGCAAAGGAAGACCTTTCTCTCTGTCTCTCTCTCTCACTGTCCACTCTGCCTGTCAAAAATAAATAAATAAATTAATTAAATAAATAAATAAAGATTATTTGTTTGAAAGGCAGAGTTGCAGAGAGAGAGAGAGAGAGAGAGAGAGAGGCAGACAGACAGACATGAGATCTTCCTTCTGCTGGTTCACACCCCAAATTCTCCCCAGCAGCCAGGGCTGGGCCAGGCCGCGGCCAGGAGCCCGGAACTCAGCCTGCGTCTCCACGTGGGTGGCAGGGCCCGGGTACTTGAGCTGTCCTTTGCTGCCCCCAGGGTCTGCATGAGCAGGAAGCTGGAATCCAGAGCGATCTGGGACTTAACCAGGTGCTCCAGCACGGGGGGCCCGTGTCCCAAGCAGCGGCTTAACTTCTGTGCCAAATGCCCACCATCAATCACATTTTCTAAAAAAATATTTCTTTATTTGAAAGGCAGAATTACAGAGAGGGTGAGGGGTTGGAGGAGAGAGAGAGATTGAGATCTTCCGTCTACTGATTCACTTCCCAAAGGGCCGCAATGGTCAGGGCTGGGCCAGGCCCGAGCCAGGAGCGCGCAACTCCATCTGGGTCTCCCATGTGGGTGCAGGGGCCCAAGGACCTCAGCCATCTTGCGCTGCTTTCCCAGGTGCATTAGCAGGGAGCTGGATTGGAAATGGAGCAGTGGGGATTTGAACCAGTGCACATATGGGATGCCTGAGTCCTAGGTGCTTAACTCACTGCACTACAATGCTGGTCTCTGAATTATACCTTTTTTTAAAAAATATTTTATTTAATTTATTTGAAAGGCAGAGTTACTGGGGATGGGGGGGTCTTCCATCTAACAGTTCACTCCCTGATTGGCCACAACAGATGGAGCTGTGTCAATCCAAAGCCAGGAGCCAGGAGCTTCTTCTAGGTCTCCCACGAGGTGCAGGGACCACTTGGGCCATCTTCTACTGCTTTCCCAGGCCAGAGCAGAGAGCTGGATGGGAAGAGGAGCAGCCGGGTCTCGAACTGGTGCCCATATGGGATGCTGGCACTGCAGGCGGTGGCTTTACCAGCTACGCCACAGCGCCAGCCCCTGAATTAAACATTTTAAGTGCATGAATTATATGGTATGTGAATTACGTCTCAATGAAACTGTTTTTATAAATACATGCAGGCTCTGGTTCGTCACTGGGACGCCTGCTCTCTGCCATGTTGTGTCAGCTGTGTTCTCTATTCAACATTGCTCACATGCTTACTATCAAAATATCGAAAATATAATTTCATAAATAATAATAAAAAGTAAAACTAGAGACTTCCAGTTAGGGCGTATATGATATGGACTAACCTCTCCCTGCTCCTCTAGCTAAATATAAACTGTTATCTATATTATTTTTTAAATTGTTGTTATCTATATTATTAAGACCGGGAAATGATACAGCTGGCGGTTACAGGGTTGTGCGTGGTGGGAAGAGGAAAGCAGGGGTCCTGACCAGACACGAGAGCAGCCTGATTCTCCCGCTCCCGTCTGCAGCGGAAGGCAGCCAGGGACAGCGTCCCCCGGCCTCCAGCTGATGACAAGGGCCAGGCCTGCTTCCCCCACTCTCCCACCTAACAGCGTCCCCCGGCCTCCAGCTGATGGCAAGGGCCAGGCCTGCTTCCCCCACTCTCCCATCTAACAGCAGGAGGAAACACAAAGCGCTCCCGTGGGGACGTCCAGTGGTACCAAGTCTGCCGGCCCCTCCCCACCTAGCAGCTCTGGGCAGCCTGAGAAACACCTCTGTCCCCACAGCGTTACGTAGATGCCTGGTAGCACCAGACGAGTGAAACAGAACAGAACCCAGGACTCTGAAAACGAAATTGAGCAGGCGTGGCACGGTGGGTTGTATCAGAGCGTATGCTTGGGTCCCATCCCACACGGAGCACCGGTGTAAGTACCAACTACTCCACTTCCCATCCAGCTTCCTCCAAATGCATCCTGGGAGGTAGCGGGAGACGGCTCAAGTGTTTGGTCCCAACCCCGGCGTGGGAGCCCTGGATGGAGTTTTGGGATGCTGCTGCACTTCAACAGGATGGGGGCATGCTAAAACAGAAGGAGGATCCAGTGTCTCCCAACACAATGGGCAGGCTGTCCGTATAATGATTAAGAATCACCTGCCGTGCCAAGAACCAGAAATGCGTAGCTTGCGTAAGAAGAGAGATCCCCAGGCGGCCACTCTGGGAAACTTCTGAGGGTTGAAAAGCAGCCGTCACAAAAACGCTTCAAGGCCAATCGCAAGTTATCTTGAAACAAGTGACAAAACAGAAAATGTTAGCGAGAGACAATTTTTTTTTACAAAGAGCCAAATAAAAATCGTAGACTGGAGAGAATAAAATAAACCAAAATAAAATGCGTCTGACGCAAGAATGAATCTACGAACCAGGAAGTAGAACAATAGAGAGAAAATGGAATGAGGAAACTGAACATGGCCTCGGGGACCTGAGGAGCTATTTCAAAAATCCAACTTTTGTGTCAGTGGAGACTAAGGAGAGGAGAAGGTCTGGGGCCGAAAAAATATCTCAGGAACAGATGGCAGAAGCTTCCAAATCTGGCAAATGGCAAACCATCTAAGAAGTTTGGCAAACCCCAACTAAGATCAGCCCAAGGAAATCTGTGCCACACACCTCATCATTAGGCTTCTGGAACAAAAAGCGAACAAAGAAAATCTTTGAAAGTAGACACACGAGTAGAGAAATAGACGCGGGCTGTATGGAGTAACAGCTGGAATGATGGGATTTGGTCAGAAGCACCGCAGGCCAGAAAGAAGCAGAGGAGGGCACTTGCTGTGCCTGGGACGCCAGCGCCCCGACGAGTTCTGGGCGCCGTCCAGCTCTGACCCAGCTCCCCGGCAATGCGGCTCCTGGGAGGCGGCGGGTGGTAGCTCCAGTGCTTCAGCTGCCGCCGCCCGTGTGGGAGAGCAGGCTGAGTTCCTGGTTCCTGGCTTTGGTCTGGCCCAGTCCTGTGTGGGCATTCAGGGGAGTGAACCAGCAAATGGAAGGTCCCTCCCCCATCTTTGTCCATCTTTGTCTGTCTTTCTCTCACATCTTTTCAAATAAATAAATCCTTATAAAGTGCGATTCAATGGCTTTAGAATATTCAAAGGGTTGTGCAATCCTTTTTTAAAATATTTATTTATTTGAAAGAGTTACACGGAGGATGGAGAGGGGGGAGGGGGAGAGGGAGAGTGAGAATGAGAGGGAGACTCCACCCACTGGTTCACTCCCCAATTGGCCTCAGTGGGCGGAGCTGTGCCAGTCTGAAGCCAGGAGCCAGAAGCTTCCTCCAGGTCTCCCACGTGGGTGCAGGGGCCCAAGGACTTGGGCCATCTTCTGCTGCTTTCCCAGGCCATAGCAGAGAGCGGGATCGGAAGTGGAGCAGCTGGGACTTGAACCAGTGCCCATGTGGGATGCTGGCGCTGCAGGTGGCAGCTTTACCCACTATGCCACAGCGCTGGCCCCGATTGTGCAATCCTTACCAGTCAATTTTAGGACATTTTCATTATCCCTGAGAGAAACTCCATATCCATCAATAGTCACTGCCATCGTGTCCCGAGCCCAGGCCCCAAGTCTGCTTTCTGTCTGTCTGGATTCGCCTACCCTGGACATGTCACGTAATTGGAATCCTGTTGGTGGCTTTTGTGTCTGGCTTCTTTCACTCTGCAGAACGTTGTCAGGTTCCTCAGCACTGTGGTGTCTATCAGCACGCACGCGTCTTTATTGCCGAGTAGTACTCCACTTAGAGACGCGTCACTTGGCTGTGTTCCTCACTGTTTTCATCTGCACGCTGTGGGCAGTGCTGCCGGGCTTCCACAGTGTGGACACACGTGTTCATTCCTTGCAGACATTCCTGCTGGAGTTGCTGGGTCACTCCCTGCTCAGCAGCTCGAGGAGCTGCCGACTGTTTCCCATTCAGCTGCTCTGATGGCCGGTCCCACCAGGGCTGCCTGAGAGACCCGGTGTCTGTGTCATCATCGACGCTTTTATCTGACTTGTGGTTCCTGCCATCTTCATGGGCTGGCAGTGGTATGTTACTGTGGCTTAAAAATTTTTTAAATGTATTTGAAAGGTAGAGAGAGAGCGAGAGCGAGAGAGCGAGCTCCTGTTTGCTGGTTCACTCACCAAGCATCCACAGTGCTGGGGCTGGCCCGGGGAGCCAGTCCAGGTCTCCCACGTGAGGGGCAGACACCTGGCCATGTAAGCCTTCACTGCTGCCCCCCCACGATCTGCGTGGGCAGGAAGCCGGCGTCAGGAGCCAGAACTGGGCATTGAACCCGGGTACCCCGATGTGGGCGTCTTACTCGGAGTCTGAAATGCTGGGCAGATGATCTGCTGTCCCTGGTGGCTGACGATGTTGATCTTTTCACTTGCTTATTGGCTGTTCCCATGTCTGTGGAGAGCTGTTCATTCAAGTCCAGTGCCCTTTTTTTTTTTTTTTAATTTTTTATTTGAGAGGTAGTTACAGACAGTGAAAGTGAGAGACAAAGAGAAAAGTCTTCCTTCCATTGGTTCACGCCCCAAATGGCTGCAACTGTTGGAGCTGTGCCGATCTGAAGCCAGGAGCCAGGAGATTCTGGGTTTCCCACACGGGTGCAGGGGCTCAAGCACTTGGGCCATCTTCTGCTGCTTTCCCAGGCCATAGCAGAGCCTGGATTGGAAGAGGAGCAGCTGGGACTTGAACCGGCGCCCATATGGGATGCTGGCCCTGCAGGTGGCGGCTTTACCCACTATGCCACAGCGCTGGCCCCTAGTGCCCATTTTTAGTTGGATTGTTTTTGTTGTTGAGTTGAGGCTTTAATTTGGGGGTGAGGGGAGTTGGCAGAAGGTTTTCCAAATGCAGGAGTGAGTGGCAGGGTCATTTGGGCTGCCACAGGGGGAGAATGTAGGGACGCCGTGGCGAAGGCCAGCAGTATCGGATCCTGGGATAATCCTGGAGCCAATTGGTGTGACTGGGAGGCGGCTGGGGTAACAGGAACTGGTGGGACAGGGCAGGTTCTGGATTCATTCTGAAGGGGGCGCCTACAGATGTGAGAAGTCAGGTCTGCCTGTCACCGGGAAGCATGGAGGCACGTCAGCTGGGAAGGCGGATCTGTGTCCTGTCACTGACAAAGTAGCACAGGCCGCGTGGCTTGAAGCAACAGGCATTTCTCGCCTCTCAGCTCTGAGGCACGGCAGGAACCAAGTGATGGTGGGGGCTCCAGAAGCTGCAGGAGCGTCCTCCTGCCCTTGTGCGTCTCTGGAGGCCACCGGCGCGCGGGTTCCTCGGTTTACAGTGACTTCACTCTGGTCTTGGTCTCCGTTGGCGCATGGCCACCGTCCCTCTGCACGTCTCTGTCCAAAGTTCCCTCCTCTCAAAAGGACATCGTCATTAGATTAGGGTCCACCCCAAGGACGATGTTAGCCTGGTCGTGTTTGCAAAGATCCCATTTCCAGGGGGCAGGAGAAGCTCAGGGATGAGGCTAGGAGCTGTGTGTCAGACGTGCGAGCTCTGAGAGGTCTAGTCACACGTCCCCAGAAGATGCTGAGCAGGCAGCTGGATATAGGAGCTGTCAAAGCAAACTTTTCAAAAAGTTCAAAACGTGAGTCACGCAACTCTAAAGAGAGGCTGTGTCAGAGATTTATTTAAACCATTAATGAGGAAACTGGTCTGGTGGTGAAACCTGCTCAAAAGAGAGAGGGAAGCATTAGTAGTGACTGGAACGAAGCTTGCTTGTATGAACTTGCTAATGTAGATTAAAAAAATTGGTTAATGTTCCACAGGAGCCACACAATTGCCACCTTTTTCCAGCTAAGATCTTTCTACCAGAGAGAAATAATTTCTACCACTCACTACTGGACAAAAATTCATTGGCATTGCTATCAGGCCATCCAAGTACTAAGTACTAACCAGGCCCAACCCTGCTTACCTCCAAGATCAGACGAGATCGGGCGTGTTCAGGGTGGTGTGGCCACAGATTAGCGTGTTTTCTGTGGATACGGTCTACCTTTGGTGAGTTGTAAAATGTCCTAATCAATAATGAACAGCCAGCTAGTAGGTGCACAGTGCCTCCGGCGGGCTGGCTCAACAACACTCGGCTTGGCCCCGGAAAGGACACAGTGTCGTCTTTTTACCCATTCCTGAGTTTGGAAAATGTCCCCTAAGATTTCCCCCTTGTGGTGACAGACAGGGTACGGCAGTTGTCTGCTTGTGCTCTGACCTGATTCATCTGGCCAGACGCTGTGAGCAAGAGTAATTAACGTGCAAGCCTCCTTGTTTGGCTGCTTATCTAAGCCACGTGGCCTTTCACAACGACCCAGGCCAGAAAACCAGCTCTGCGTGGAGATGTCATCAAAAGGAATGCAGGTGGGAGCCTCCATTGTGCCTGAAGTGCTCTCTGATTTCTCTTCCCAGGCTCGGACGCCACATCAGCCCCGCTCGGGTTTGCGTGCGGTCACTGTGCGTGTGGGAGAATCTCTAGTTCCTGGGGAACGCCAGCATCTGAGACAGTCCTCGGCTTGTCAGGAAGCGTCTTCCTTCGGACCTGTGAACCTGAGATCTGTATGCCAGAGCACAGGTGTCTGGGTTTCCGAGGGGTGGGTGGGCACTGTTCCAAGACGCGCTGCAACCCTGCTGCTTCGCGGTGGGCACGCCGTGCTGAATCACGTGAACCTGTTTTCTCGGTGTGACACCATGAAAGGCCTTGGTTGCACGATTTGTGTGATAGTATCCTGGTGAAAAGCAGCGCTGCTTTCTACCGAAACCAGGCATGCTGATAGATTTCCAGAAAGAATCAGGGTCAGTGAAAAACTTTCTCCTCAATTCTGACGCAAGGAAAGTACTATTGAATGAGTATTTTGGGGCCAGCATTGTAGCACAGCAGCCTAAGCCGCTGCTGGTGATGCTGGCATCCCGTTAGCAGGGCGCCTGCTTGAGTCCTGGATAGTCTGCTTCCAGCCCACCTTGCGGCCAGCGTCCCTGGGAAGCAGCAGGAAATGCACTAAGGACTTGCGCCCCTGGCGCTCACGTGCAGACCTGGAAGGAGCCCCTGGCTCCTGGCTTCCATCTGGCCACCCATGGCTGTTGAGGCCATTTTGAGAGTGACACTCTGCTTCTCAAATAAATCTCTAAAAAATTATTTAATTTGCTTGTGAAAGCATATTCTACTAAATTAAAGGATAGAGGTAGATCCAGGATGACTAACGGCTTTATCTTATTTCTTCCAGAAAGCAGGACATTTAGACACCCTCCTCCTTGCCTTGTTAGGTCTGTGCTTTCAGTCAGCAGATCTGACAGTTCCAGGGGACAGTGAGTCTTCGGAGTCAAGTTTTTACTGGGGCATAAGTAGGGGGCCAGGGATGATGTGTCTGGGGCCACGCTCCTGTTTTGCATAGCCCAGAGATGATAACATGCAGGGGGATTACGCCGAGTGAATTCCTTGATGCGTCTCACTGTTTATAGTTACAAGTATAGAACGAGGGGAGGAGGGGCCGTGTTGTGTGTCCCAGCAGGTTAAGCCACTGCCGCACACCGGCATCCCACATGAGCGCTGGTTCGAACCCTGGCTGCTCCCCTTTGGATCCAGCTCCCTAATGTGTTGGAAGGTGGCCCAAGGGCTAGGGGCCCTGCACCCTCGTGGGAGAACCGGATGGAGTTCCAGGCTCTTGGCTCCAATTGATCTCTCTCTAACTTGTCTTTCAAATAAATAAATAAATCTTAAAATAAAAAGGGGGGAGGGTAGACCGTCCCATGTTTGATTGGACTGGAGGTATCAGTATGAATTAAGAGATTTGGGAAAAGATACAGGGACATATGCACTTAAATTCTACATTTCCTAGATCTCTCCTGAGTGTAAATGCAGTCACACTTTATAGTCTTCTTGCATTCAGCATTTTGTGTTTGAGATTCAGCCGGATGACTGATGCAGGGCCTAGCTTTGTGGCACAGAGGGTTAAGCTGCCACTTGGACTCCTTCATCTCATATTGTGGTGCCTGGGATCAAGTCCCACCTCCACTTCCAACCCAGCTCCAGGCTAAAGTGCCTGGGAATGCAGAGGAAGATGCCCCAATTGCTTGGGTCTCTACGCCCAGAAGAGGCTCCTGGCTCCTGGCTTTGGACTGGCTTAGCTCTGGCCATTGCAGCCATCTGGGGAGTGAACCAGCAGATGGAAGATCTCTCTCTCTCTTCCTCTCTATATATAACTCTTTCAAATAAAATAAATAAATCTTAAAAATGTATGAATTTTTTTAAAAGATGGCTGATGCAATTCAGCCGATACAACTACTTTTTATTGCTGTGTGCTTTCCATTGTATGGAAATAACTCACTTTACCCATTTTATTGTCCATGGATATTTGAGGCTTTCCCCCAGTATTTCTGATGTTTAAAACTGCCTCTTTGAACGCACAGGTCTTCAAATGAATAAGTGCGAGTTTCTCCAGCAGACGCCCCGGCACAGACGCACTTAGGGACATATATGGACTCAGCCCTGCGGCGGGCAGTATGCGCACTGCGCTGGCTTGCATCTCCCTGAAGTGGCCACAACTGCTCCCATACAACACGCTCCTCCTAAAGTGCGACTTTGACACTCCTTACTCCAAAAGGTAGGATCTGCATCCGCATTTCATGAATCCGGACATGCCAGTCACTAGGTCAGAAGTGACACTAATGTGACTGCTGGGGCTACGATATGAGTGGTGGTACAGGTCCCACCTGGTTCTCTTGGGATTCTTGCTTTTAGAACTTGGCCACCACTTCACGAGAAAGACCCCCAAGGCTCTCAGTCCACAGTCTGAACTAAGTTACCAGTCGAGTGGGTGCGCTGTCTTGAGAAGTGGATCACTCAGTCCCCGTGGAGGTATCTTGTTGGCGCTGCTTGGAGCAGACTAGCCATGCCCCTGAATCCTGTCCTAATAGCAGGTCCAAGGGCCAAAGGGACAACTGCTGTTTGAAGCTACAGTTTGGGGGTGGTGTGCTATGCAGGTATGGGTAGCCAGTGCACAAAGCTAACCTCACTGAGCACTGCCACGCCGTTCACCAAGACAATGGCGCCCTTGACGTTCTCATCAGCAGGGATGTGTTTCAACTGCTCCTTCATCTGGCCATCACTGGGTGTTGTCAGACTTTACCGCCTGTGCCTACTTGGGTGGTTTAATTTCCAAAGTAACTATTCAGATTATTGGTCTTTTCCACATTCTTCTCTGCAAGGGGCCTGGTGATGATACTGGTTTCTCTGCTGATGTTGGGTTCTGCCCATCATGCGGTTGTCTTGGCTGTTCCTAATGGTTTTGAAAGGATTCATTATGTGTCCTGGGTATTGATGCTTTGCAAGGTACAGTCTGAGAATGCAAGCCATCACAGATTGTACTTTCACACACCTAGATGTAGGTCAGTCACTAAACAAGGCATCTGGATGCAATCATGAAATATATGATGCTGTTTTACAGGGGTTCCCCCCCCCCCACGCACAACAAGGCAGCCAGAAAGAGACAGCTGACCTGCTGGCCCACTTCCCAAATGCATACAGTACATGGGGCTGGTTCAGAGCTGGAGCCAGGAGCTGGGAGCTCAACCCAGGTCTCCCACGAGGGGCAGGGACTCAGCTACCTGAGACATCCTTGCATCCTCCAGGGGCTGCACTGGCAGGAAGTGGGTCATGAGCTGGAGCTGGGTATTGAACCTGGGTACTCTAATGTGGTATGTGGGCATCTCAAACACAGTGAGCTTGTTTTTGTATAAGTAGGTATATGCTTTAAAATGATGATAGATAGTGTGGTAGGTGTATAAAGCCGTGACACAGTCACTGATCATGAAGTGGTGTACGTGATTGTATGTGTTATGTTTTTGTATGACCGGCAGAGCAGGTTTGTTTGCACCAACATCACCACAAACACGGGAGGAATGTGTTGTGCTGCGGTGGCTATGATGTCACTACGGAGTTAGTTTTTCTGCTCCCTTCTAATCTTATGGGATCCCATGATATGTTCAGTCTGTGGTCGACAGAAATGTCGTTATGCAGGACACGACAGTATTTATATTCCAGTCTGAGAACCACAGCTTTCTAGATGAATTTAATCACATTTATCTGATGAGCTGTTTCCTGCCTTCTCATATCTTTTTAAATTGAGATTTATTTATTTGAAAGTCAATTACAGAGAGAGAGAGGGAGAGAGGGCGATCTTCCATTCACTGGTTCACTCCCCAGATGATTGCAACGGCAGTGCTGGGCCAGGCTGAAGCTTTTTCCAGGTCTCCCACCTGGGTACAGGGGCCCAAACACTTGGGCCATCTTCTGCTGCTTTTCCCAGGCCATAGCAGGGAGCCGGATCAGAAGTGGAGCAGCTGGGACTTGAACCGGTGCCCATGAGGGATGCTGGAGTTGCAGGCAACAGCTTCACCCACCGAGCTACAACTCTGGCCTCATGTCTCATGCTCTTTATTATGCCTTTGTCTTTTTCTTTTGTTTGTGCTGTCACTTTCTTCAGTTGTGTTGACAGTTGTAAATCCTGGGGCCGGCACTGTGGCACACCAAGTAAAGCTGCCACCTGCACTGCCAGCATCCCATACAGGCACTGGTTCAAGTCCCGGCTGCTCCCCTTCCTATCCGGCTCCCTGCTAATGTGCCTGGGAAAGCAGCAGATGATGGCCCAAGTACTTGGGTCCCTGCACACACTCTGGGAGACCTGGATGAAGATCCTGGCTCCCAGTTTTGGTCTGGCCCAGCCCTGGCTGTTGTGGCCATTTGGGGAGTGAAGCAGTGGATGGAAGACCTCTCTCTCTCTCTCTCTCTCTCTGCCTCTGCCTCTCTAACACTCTGCTTTTCAAATAAATAAATAAATAAATCTTTTTTAAACTTGTAAATCCTACTTTGATTATTATTCTAGTGGAAACTAGATAGCTTTAACATTTTAAACGTCTAAAAAGAGTTATTGCAGCTGGTGTGGTGGTACAGTGGGATAGGCCAGCACCTGGGACCCTGGCTTCCCGTAGGAACACCAGTTTGAGTCTTGGCTGTTCGGCTTCTGATCCGGTTCCCTGCTAAAGTGCCTAGCAAAGCAGTGGAGGATGGCTCAAGTCCTTGGGCCCCTGCACCCATGTGGGAGACCTGGATGGAGCTCGGGGCTACTGGTTTTGGCCTGGACCAGCCCCAGTCATTGCAGCCATTTAGGGAGTGAAGCAGCGGATGGAAGATACCTCCCTCTCTCTCCAAATAAAATAAATCTTTTAAAAGGAAGGTTATGGAACTGGGGCTGTGGCATAGTGGGTTTAGCCATGGCGTGCAGTGCTGCCCATATGGCTGCTGGTTGGAGTCCCAGCTGCTCTACTTCCAATCCAGCTCCCTGCTGATGTGCCTAAGAAAGCAGTGGAGGATGGCCCAAGTGCTTGGGACCCTGCGCCCACGTGGGAGACCCGGGAGAAGCTCCTGGCTCCTGGCTTTGGCCTGGTGCAACCTTGGCCTTTGCAGCCATTTGGGGAGTGAAACAGCAGATGGAAGACCAATCTCTCTCTCTTCTCCCCTTTTTCTGTAAATCTGCCTTTCAAATAAATACCTCTAAAAAATTTTGAAGAGATTTATTTGAAAGGCAGAGAGAGATAGAGATTGATGTTCCACCTGCTGGTTCACTCCCCAGATGCCCACAATAGCTGGAGCTAGGACAGGCAGAGGCAGGAGCCAGGGAGTCCCTGTGCGTCTCCCATAGATAGTGTGCAAGAGACCCAAGCACTCGGGCCATCATGTACTGCCTTCCAGAGCGCACATTAGTAAGCTGGATTGGAAGAATGGAGTAGCTGGGCGTTAAACCAGGCACTGCGATATGAAATGCGGTGTTCCAAACAGCAGCTTAACCTGCGGTGCTGCAATGCTTACCCCAGTATTTTAAAGCTGTTTAAAAAGCTGATCCTAAAGTCCTCTAGTGAGACAATACAAGACTCCTACCTGGCTTATGTCAAGTTTACCTGGGATTTTCTCAAACTGGTTTCTTCGCTGGGGTCCGCGTCTCACTCTTGCAGTCACTTTTCATTTTGCTAGTACCTTTAGCACTTTTTAAAGACTTTGTGGATGTTGACAGGCTGTGAAGACAGCTTTATTTGGCTGTCTCCCTCGAATGATACTTTCACTGTGTAGGACTTCTGGGTTCAATTTGCTATCGATGTTGACAATCTTCTGCAGGTTCAGGCTGACGAAGTCTGAAGAAGGGCCTCGGAGCCGGCCTCTTCGCTCTCAGGATCCCGGAGTGTCACCTGGCGTGCCTCCACGAGTGACTTTCTGCACCTGAGCACATTTGTGAAGCCGTGGCCCATTTCCTGTTCTGGGAAGAGTTTCGTCTTCTCATCTCTTTCACGAGACTGTGTCTTGCCTCTGCCCTGCCATGGGAGTTCCTCCAGCTTCTTGGTTTGTGTCCAGTCCCCGTGTGAGGAGGGAAGGACGCGGCCTCTGCTGGCTGCCCTGGCGAGTTTGGACTCAGATAAGGAGACATCCATTCATGGAACGGAGGTTATATATATATATTTTAAGATTTTGTTTATTTGAGAGGTGGAGTTATAGACAGTGAGAGAGAGACAGAGAGAGGTCTTCCTTCCATTGGTTCACTCCCCCAGCTGTGCCAATCCGAAGCCAGGAGCCAGGAGCTTCTTCCGGGTCTCTCAGAGCTCCTGGCTCTGGTGCAGCAGGTGTGGTTGGGACCCCCAGGTGGGGCCTGATCCTACGGCAGCTCAAGGGTATGGCCAGAGGAAGCAGCAGCTTCAAGGTGGGCCCTTGTTCAGGACCGACTGCTGGGTGCTCTTGGATTGGTCCTATTCCGTCTCCAAGTCTTCACTACTCAGCCCTCACGTGGAGTGCAATCAGGTCCCAAGCTGTGGCCAGAAAAGGCTTTCTGGGGGGCTGTGGCCCCACTAGGACCCTGCGGGAACAAGGCTGACAAATCCAGTGAGGCTCTGGGTAGAGCACCAGGAGCTGTGGGCTGCCCCTTTGTCTAAGCAAGGGGGAAGGGCTGGCGTCTTACTGTTGAGGCTCTTCAACCTACAGGGGCTCCTTCATTGCCATGCATATGTCACAGACCCTCAGGGGAAACTGAGGCACCACTAGGCCTCTCCCTCATCTCAAACCATGGTGGACTCACTCTCAAAATGCAAACTGTCAGGAAACCACTGAATCTTAAAGTTAAAAAAAAAAAATAAAGGCTGGAGTGGAAGCAGCCAGCTGGGGAATTGAATGCAGGCCCCTGAGCTGCTCTGTCCTGGCCTTCCCTGGGTCTCTTCAGTGGCGTCTCTGGGTTACCTGAATCTCAGTGGGGTGTTCCGATCCAGTATCCCAGGAGGCCTTACATGGCCTGCAAAATCACTTGGTCTGGCCTTGCCAAGGCAACTGTGGCCAGGACTCAAAATTCAGTAAATCTGTAACAGGCTAATTTTTTTTTTTTTTTTTTACAGGCAGAGTGGACAGTGAGAGACACAGAGAGAAAGGTCTTCCTTTGTCGTTGGTTCACCCTCCAATGGCTGCTGGGGCCGGCGCACTGCGGCCAGCACACCGCGCCAATCCAATGGCAGGAGCCAGGTGCTTATCCTGGTCTCCCATGGGGTGCAGGGCCCAACACTTGGGCCATCCTCCACTGCACTCCCGGGCCACAGCAGAGAGCTGGCCTGGAAGAGGGGCAACTGGGACAGAATCCAGCGCCCCGACCGGGACTAGAACCCGGTGTGCCGGCGCCGCAAGGTGGAGGATTAGCCTAGTGAGCCACGGCGCCGGCCCGTAACAGGCTAATTCTTAAAAAAATATTTATTTATTTGAAAGAGTTACAGAGAGAGGTAGAGCCAGACAGAGAGGTCTTCCATTCTGCTGGTTCACTCCTCAAATAACCACGAACTGTGCAAATATGGGATGCTGGTGCTGCAGGCTGGGGCTTTAAACCACTGTGCCACAGCGCCGGCCCCTACCAAGCTAAATTTAAAGTTGATTTTGTATGTCCCCTAAATATCCAAATAGCCCTTATGGAAAAAAGGGCTTCCCCTGGCTGCCAGAACACAGCAGTGCGGGCACCCGCCAAGGTGCCTGCACTGCCCAGGTCCTGCCTGCCCCTCAGCGCCCCTGCACTTCGGGGAGCCGTGCGCTGGGCCCTCAGGACCCTGACCCCAGGTCTGCAGACCCCTCACAACGCCAACCTCAAACCCCTGGTCCCAGAGCCCTCAGTACCCGGAAGCCCTTGGGATCCCAACCACGATTTGTAAAGCTCTTATGACCCCGACCCCCCAACAGCTTCACAACCTCAACCTGGATTCCCGAACCTCAGCCTCCCTCAGGACCCCAACCCCGGTCCACGAGCCTGTCAGGACTTCAACGCTGCTCACTATGGGACCCCAACTCCAGCCTGGAAACCTATTAGGATCCTGACGCTGGGTCCCTGGCCCCTGGACTCCTTCAGGACCCCGACTTCCGGTTCCCGGATCTCCCTCAGAACCTCCACCCTGGTCCCTGAACCACTTCAGGACCGCGAACACTGACTGGATTTGACCCCAACCCCGGGTCCCGAGATCCCCCTCGGGACCCCGACCCCCGGTCCCAGAACCCCTCAGGACGCTGACCCCTCGTCCGTGGCTTCCCTCAGCACCCTGACCCCCGTGAACCCCTTAGGACTCCGACCCCTGGTCACAGGATCTCCACCCTCAATCCGAACACTGACTGGATTTCCTCAGGACCCCGACCCCTGGTCCGAGAACCCCTCAGGACCCCGACCCTCAGTCCAGATCCCCCTCAGAACCCCGACCCCTGGTCCCAGGGTCTCCACCCCCACTCCACTTCAGGACTGCGAACACTGACTGGATTTGACCCCAACCCCGGTCCTGGGATCCCCCTCAGGACCCCGACCCCCGGTCTGAGAAACCCTCAGGACGCTGACCCCTCGTCTGCGGCTTCCCTCAGGACCCCGAACCCTGGTCCGAGAACCCCTCAAGACCCTGACACTGGGTCCCGGAATCCCCCTCAGGACCCTTCTCGGCTTCTGAGCCCCCTCAGGACCCGACCCCTGGTCCCAGGGCCTCCACCCTCAGTCCCCAAACACTGACTGGATTTCCTCAGACCCTGACCCGGTCCATGAACCCCTCAGCACGCCGACCCCTGGTCCCAGGATCTCCACCCCTGGCCCCGAACACTGACTGGATTTCCTCAGGACCCCGACCCCGGTCCCGGGATCCCCCTCAGAACGCTTCCTCCCAGCCTCTGAGCCCCCTCAGGACCCGACCCCGTGTCCCCGATCCCCTTCAGGACCCGACCCCGGTCCCGGGATCCCCCTCAGGACCCTTCCTCCCGGTCCCCGAGCCCCCTCAGGGCCCTTCCTCCCGGTCCCCGAGCCCCCTCAGGACCCTTCCTCCCGGTCCCCGAGCCCCCTCAGGACCCCGACCCCCGGGTCCCCGATCCCCCTCAGGACCCTTCCTCCCGGTCCCCGAGCCCCCTCAGGACCCTTCCTCCCGGTCCCCGATCCCCCTCAGGACCCCGACCCCCGGGTCCCCGATCCCCCTCAGGACCCTTCCTCCCGGTCCCCGATCCCCCTCAGGACCCTTCCTCCCGGTCCCCGAGCCCCCTCAGGACCCCGACCCCCGCCCGCCGCCGCCGTGACGCGGCCCCCACCGCCCCGCAGCCGCAGCCGCGGCCCCGCCCCCTCCCCGCCCCGCCCCGGCCCCGCCCCGCCCCCGGCGCCGCGCGGGCCGCGTCACGGCGGCGGCGGGCGGGGCGCGCCTCGCACGCAGGCGCCGGGCGGAGCGCTCGCCGCATTGTTTGCTTCGCTGGGGAGCGAGCGGCCGGCCCGGGCGTCCGAGCAGCCCCGCGCCCGACCCGCGCTCGTCCCCGCCCCGTCCCCGCGCCCGCCGGCCGGGCCCCGCGCCGGGCCTCCAGCCGGGCCCAGCCGGCGCCGCGCGAGCCGCGCCCGCGCCCGCGGCCGCCCCGCCGGGCCCGCAGCCGCCGCGGCCATTCGCCCGCGCCCTGAGCGGCGGCGGGGCCCGGCCTGCGCGGCCGTTGGCGGAGGAGCCGCGGGCGCCATTAGCGCCGCCTCGGCCGCGCCGGTCCCGTGCCCGCCGCCCGCCCGCCGGGCTCCCGCGGCCGCGGCGCCCCGGAGGTGAGTGGGCGGGGGCGGCCGGGAGGGCTCCCCGGGGCCTCGCGGGCCCGCCGCCGCCTCGGCCCGGCCTCTCGGGGTGGGGGTGCGGGCGCCATGTTTGCGACGGCGGCGGCTCCGCATTGTCCGCGGGCGGGCGGCCGGGCGGCCGGGGCGGCGGCGGCGGGGCGCGGGAGGCCGGGGCTGTCGGGCCGGCCGGGCCGGGCGCGCCGGGCGGGGGCCGCCGGGCCGGGGAGGCCGCGGAGGCCGGGAGTCGGGGCCCGGGGCGGGCGGGCGGGCGGCCGCTGCGCACGGGCGAGGGTCCCGCCCGGAGTCCGCGCCGGGCCGGGGCTGCCGGCGGGGCGCGTTATGTAACCGAGCGGCCCGGCTCGCCTGCGGGCACGGGAGCTCCCGGGCGGCCTCGCCCCGCGCGGCGTCGGCCCGCACCCTGCCGGGCGTCGCGGGGCCCGGCGCGCGCGGCGTGGGCGGGAGAAGAAACTTTCCGTGGGGTCCGGCCGCGGGGCGCGCGCGGCGCGGGGCTCCGCGGGGTCCGGTGCGGACACGGGGTACCGGCTCGCGCCGGGCCGGGTGTGCGGGTCCCGGCGCCGCCGCGGCCGCCCGTTGCTCGGCTGTGTTTCCCGCACTGGTTCCCGCAGCCGCGGGTGTGCGCAGAGCCCGGGGCCACGTGCGGGGAAGCGCTCCTCGCAGACGCGGCCGGACGCGGGCCGCGTGGGTGTGGGAGGCCGGGTCGCAGCCGGAGCGCTGGGCGCCGCTGCCGAGACAATTGCCGGTTTGGTTGGAACCAACTGTTGCTCGGGCCGCACCTCGGTAATGACAGGAGGAGCGGGCCCTGCCCGTCGGGGCCGGGGTCCGAGGGGCGGCGCCGGGAGGCCCCGCGGCGGGTGAGTTGGGGCGTGGCCGACCCCCGGCTGGAGGAAGACCCCGCGGGCGAGGGGTCTGCGTTTGGGGTTTGCTGGGATGCCCTTCCGGAGTGATGGCGGAGCCTGCTGTTGGCCGGCCCTCCCAGAGGTGCAGCTCGCTCACTGCCAGGCTGTGAGTGCGGGCCGTGGGGGAAGTGTGCGCTGGGAGCTCGCTGGTCCCCCTCCCCGAGGAGAGCGGGTTCTCTTGAGGCCTGGTGGGCAGGTTTGAGGCACCTGGACCCGTGCAGGGGACCCTCTGGGCGGTGCAGGTGCTCCGTGGGGCGGCAGCAGAGCGTCTCCTCCCCTGGTGTTGCCTAGCACGTGGAGGCCAGCGCAGCGGTCAGGCTGGGCTGAGAAATGCCCCTGAGGCTGGGGCGGGTTAACTGGCCCCACTGGTTTCCACAGTGTCACTGCTGAGGTTTGCACAGTTGATTGGGGCCCTCCGGGCATGGGGACACCCCCCAGAGCAGTGCACAGCTCCCCTCGAGTCCTGGAGTGGCTGCTGTGTCTGGCCTCAGCGCACGTGGGGACAGATTACGGAGAGGGTGGACAGGCCCTGGTTTGTCTCCTGCCTCGTTATGTTGTTGGACCCTGGAAGCTCCCAGCCCCCAGCAGGGGTGCCACACGGGGAGCAGGTGCACTTGGGCTGGTGGAGGCGCTTGGGGGCAGCAGTGGGCAGCACAGAGGGCAGTGCAGGCAGAGTGTTGGGACCCAGTGCCCACCTGGACTATGGGTTAGCCCTGTGCATGGTCTAATGGGGGACCAGCTGCACACCAGCCAGTCAGCCCGACACTACACCTGTGGGCAGAGGTGAGGGTCGGGGTCACACCTGCTGGCTTTAGCCAGCAAATGCTGGGAATCCCAGAGCTCCGGAGGGGGCTTGGGCCAGTTGGCAGGAGCCCTCGGGGGCTGCCCCTCCACGCTGCCTCCCTTCCTGGTTCCACGGCTGGCTCCTCTGTCCTGGCAGTTACCCTGTGGCCTGGGGAGGAGGCACCGTTGCAGGGTTATTGAACGTGGCCGTGAGTTTCGGGATGAGCGGTTTGAAGTCTCAGCAATCCGAGAGCTGTGCGTTTGCTTTTGACTGAGGGTTGAGTTGATGGCTAGCTCTGCCCGAGGTGCTTTCGTGGTTTTCTCTCGTGGCTTTGGTGCTCTGCCTGGGACTAACCTCGGTGTGGTTTTGTTCTAGGTAATCATTACCAAATGAGGAGGAAAGGGCGATGCCATCGAGGCTCTGCAGCGAGGCACCCCTCCTCCCCGTGCAGTGTTAAACACTCCCCCACGCGAGAGACGCTCACGTACGCTCAGGCTCAGAGGATGGTCGAGATAGAGATTGAAGGGCGTTTGCACAGGATCAGTATCTTTGATCCCCTGGAGATCATCTTAGAAGATGACCTCACCGCGCAGGAGATGAGTGAGTGCAACAGCAACAAGGAGAACCGGGAGAGGCCGCCTGTTTGCTTAAGAACTAAGCGTCACAAAAACAACAGAGTCAAGAAGAAGAATGAAGCCCTCCCCGGCAGCACCCACGGCACGCCGACCTCCGCCAGCGCGCTGCCCGAGCCCAGGGTGCGCATCGTGGAGTACAGCCCCCCGTCCGCGCCCAGGAGGCCGCCCGTGTACTACAAGTTCATCGAGAAGTCGGCGGAGGAGCTCGACAACGAGGTGGAGTACGACATGGACGAGGAGGACTACGCCTGGCTGGAGATCGTCAACGAGAAGCGGAGGGGCGACTGCGTGGCGGCCGTGCCGCAGAGCATGTTCGAGTTCCTGATGGACCGCTTCGAGAAGGAGTCCTACTGCGAGAACCAGAAGCAGGGCGAGCAGCAGTGCCTGATCGACGAGGACGCCGTGTGCTGCATCTGCATGGACGGCGAGTGCCAGAACAGCAACGCCATCCTCTTCTGCGACATGTGCAACCTGGCCGTGCACCAGGAGTGCTACGGGGTGCCCTACATCCCCGAGGGCCAGTGGCTCTGCCGCCACTGCCTGCAGTCCCGGGCCCGGCCCGCCGACTGCGTGCTGTGCCCCAACAAGGGCGGTGCCTTCAAAAAGACGGACGACGACCGCTGGGGCCACGTGGTGTGCGCCCTGTGGATCCCAGAGGTCGGCTTTGCCAACACGGTGTTCATTGAGCCCATCGACGGGGTGAGGAACATCCCGCCCGCCCGCTGGAAACTGACCTGCTACCTCTGCAAGCAGAAGGGCGTGGGTGCCTGCATTCAGTGCCACAAGGCGAACTGTTACACGGCGTTCCACGTGACGTGTGCCCAGAAGGCAGGCCTGTACATGAAGATGGAGCCTGTGAAGGAGCTCACGGGGGGCGGGGCCACCTTCTCGGTCAGAAAGACCGCGTACTGTGACGTCCACACGCCTCCAGGTTGCACCCGGAGGCCTCTG